TCCAAACGTGGCCCTACCGAAATAGATTCACTCGCGACGAGGGACCACGTAGGAGAATCGAGCCTCGGCTTCTAATTCCATTATCAAAGACTTTCTTCGTTTGGTTAGCATATAGGGAGTGCCGCGAGAAGAAAATATTCCGAAAATAAATCGCAATATCGAATATGACGTATAATCGAATAATCCAGCAGTTCGAAAGCAAAAAGTTTAATTTAATCGGCAATTAATGCAATTCTTAGATCTGAGAGCCAGGATAATTGAATCACTCCGTTGCGAGCGAGTGAACAGAGTGTTCCCGAGGTTGATTTGGCCAGTGACGAGAGGAAGGTAATCATCTGCGCGAAAAGATGTTTTCGCACGGGCACTCGAGCGTTTCCGGTCACTGGCACGAGCAACAAAGCGACCTGGAAGAGACGTCGTTTTTCTCTTTAGAGTGTGTCACGGTGCCACTCCTAGCGGTACACCGCATACACACATCGATCCCTCGTTGTTATGCAAAGAACATTTTCTCGTCGACGAATCACCACGGTTTCCTCTTCGATTCCAGCTTACATTTCCCCTCCCGCCCATTGTCCACTCTTGTCGATCGATCGATCGATCGTCCGATTTTCGAGAAACGCGAACAATATATCCGACCGCTTTTCAAACGACGACAGTTCCACTTAAGTTTGATATTTCGCGTGTGTGCATCGAGCCCGTTCGTTGCACTTTTCACGGTTCAACTTCCTCGAACGTAAGGCGTAACGTCCGTTATTCTAAATGTCGTGCCGCATCCTTGCAAACGCGAGTAACCTACTGCTGCTATCGTTCAAATGGTCGTTGCCGCGCACAATCATCGGCGTCGTAAAATGATAAATGGGAGAAGTATTTCATAAAGTTTACGAGAGACCGGTTCATCGCTTCGTTGTAAAGTAAATAGTACGAGAAATTAGTTCATCTTCTTTTTTCCCCGTCCATTTCCTGCTTCCCGTGCATCACAATGACCCTTGTCCCAACGGGAAAATTTATAAGTCAAACACCTATTTAAATATTGTTTATACTCGCGTGACCAAGCCGTCAATTCGAAACCAAGGTTCAAGAGGCAAACGAACTTAACGTAATATTTCGAAATTTCTTTTTCCCTTGAACCTCGATCCCCTATGAACGGGGAGGTCGATCCAATGCAAATGACCGATTTGCATACGAACTTTCGAATTATTCGCATCGTATGGCGGCGCAACGTCGTCCCGTGTACGAACATCTAATTGAATATTTTATATCAGGACAACGCGTCGGTTAATATCTTGTAAGTGGTCGCGACTCGACCACAATGATTCCACTTCGCGGCAGTCGCGACGAAAGACAATGCATACTAAACGCGTCGTAGGTAGCTGTAACCAGCGTGTTGTAACATGGCTGCTCGAGTCGTCGACGAGCGGAATGCGGCGCGCAGAGACGATTTCAAAGTCATTCTCCCGTTGGCATTGTTCCTGCATTGTTTTTTCCACGCGAGAAACTCGCTCTTTCCTGGAACACGTCCCCCCTCTTTCGATCAAAGATCGCGTGGGCGGTGTCGAGGGATCCCAAAAGAAATGTTCTCTCGAGAGAGAGAGCGGCGCAGGGAGGCTCGCAACGAGTGCTAAAATTCGCGAAATATTTATAGACCGCAGCTGCACACACTTGGCCTCCTCCCCTCGGTCGGGCGCCACCACGTACGCTGCGTCCAGCCATCCTCGTTGCAACGTAACGGTGCGTGAAAACTGCGTCGGGTCAACGCTGGAGATCATCCCATTAACGGTACACCCGCGACGTCCTTTGAATTCGTCGCGCGCCTCGCGATGCCTCTCGCGCATAGAAAAGATTCTCGACTAGGTATCTTGGATGGCCGATGAGAAAGGATAGGGGAGAACTCTGGAACTCACGACGAAATCACCCACCCCCTTGTTTGGAATGATTCCAAACGCAGGTGACTTCGGTCGAATCGAATCTCGAAGGAAGATCGATTTTCTTAAAAATAACCTACGAAATATAATTTTCGGTTGCAGAAATTTTTTCGTAGGGCGCAAGTTTGCGAGAACGGAAAGAAAGGTGGTCGACATCGGTGTATATCGTTCTAGGCCGCAGCTGCGTTCTAGTCGTTTCTTCCCAACGATGGGAAGAAACGACTTTCTTTGGTGTATACACGCACCAAAAATGCTGGTAGACGGCGTAAAAAAAATGGATCGAACAAGGTCCGGCTGTCACCCACTCGAAGAATTTGAGAACGACGCGCGGGAATTCAATTCACACCCTCGCCGAGGAATGACACACGCACCCCGTCCGAGTCGAGATTTCGCCCCGTCCACCATGTGGTCGTCCTAATAGCCGCTTTAAACGATGTTCGGTCGGAGGAGTGGCACGGATTTTCGGGATTTCGAGTCGTTAAATCGAGCGGGACACGGAGCGGAACAGCTGTGAAAATTTGTTTTTCAGCGACACGTGTGTATCTCTACGTCGTGCGTGTTTCCCCGCCAGCAGCACCAGCACCAGCACCAGCAGAAACGGACCGGTTTTCACTGAGTTTCGAGAGGCGGCGAGGGATGAAACCCTTGAGCCAGCCGACAACCCTTGTCGACGTCTTCTTCCCGTGTACGAGGGGTTGTGTCCCTGACTCGCTATTCTCTCTCTCTCTCTCTCCATCTCTTTATCTCGCAGCCTCTTTGTCTCTCTCTTTGTCTTTTTTTCTCTCCTTCCTTCTTTCCGCCTTTCTGCTCGCGCGAAAGAATGGGCGCAAAGGAGGGAGGGAGGGAGGGAGGGATACGGGAGTGCAAAGTCCGGGACAAATATCTTCGACTGCTCGTGCGTTCGCGAGTGTGAGTGGAGACGTGTTTGCGAAAACCTTGTGTTCCCGAAGGTTCGTTGTAACTACTGCTTCTTCTCGGGTGGAGAGACGAATCGAAGGGAAAGAAAAGAAGAGACCCGGCCCACTCGACGACGAGCGAAGAGGAAGAGGGAGGCGTGTGTGTGCTCGAATTGTGTGCCGTGGACTTCCGTAGAAACAAACGTACGAGGAAGTCTTTTGAAGCGTGGCAAGACGCACCAACCACCCCTCCTCCGGGACCCTTTCATGTCGCGCCCCGCCAGATTTTATCTTCGCAACAGTTACCACGGACACTCGAGGGAGCTCGTAATTAGTGGATCGTGACGGCAATACCTTGACTCTCGGCAATTAGAGGGGTCTTCGACATTGCGGGGAATAATAGCATTCCGATTCAGGAGGGAGTGACAGGAGAGTACAGGAGGTGGGAGACGAATCGATCTGTTTCTCGCTGAATCAATCTGTTTCTCACCCATCCGAATTCCAATTTACGGATTGTAACGAATTCCAATTTGCATTGTAACGAAAGATCGCTTCTTATTTTTACCTCTTAACGATCGAGTTACCCGAATTTCGATTCATAGACGAATTTCGTCGTGACGAAAGTTTGAGAATGGAATTGAATCGAGTGACAGGAGATCGAGAGTACAGGGGGACGAATCGATCTATTTCTCTCAAATTTTCAATTCACCCATCCAAATTCCGATATTACGAATGCATTGTAACGAAAGATCGGGTATCGCTTTCTTTTGTCTTTTAACGATCGAGTTATCCGAATTTCGATTCATAGACGAATTACGTCGTGACGAAAGTTTGAGAATGGAATTGAATCGAGTGACAGGAGATCGAGAGTATAGGGGGACGAATCGATCTATTTCTCTCGAATTTTCAATTCACCCATCCAAATTCCGATATTACGAATGCATTGTAACGAAAGATCGGGTATCGCTTTCTTTTGTCTTTTAACGATCGAGTTATCCGAATTTCGATTCATAGACGAATTTCGTCGTGACGAAAGTTTGAGAATGCAATTGAGTCGGTCGAATCGAGTGACGGGTGAATCTCATCCATCCAAATTTCGATTTTACGGATGCATTGTAACGAAAGATCGGGTAAGGATTGGAAGCGAGACGATTAATTTACTTCTAGTCTTCGATTGAATTGTTCGCTTCTTACTTTCGCCTCTTAACGATCCGAATTTCGATTCATAGACGAATTTCGTCGTGACGAAAGTTTGAGAATGGGATTGAGTCGATCGAATTGAGATGTCCAAAATTCGATTCATTTATAATAGGAAAGTAGGAAGCGTTGCAATTCAAGAATCGTAGAATATTCCAAGCGTTGAATCTTAGAAATAAACCGATAACCGGTTTCTACGTTAATTCCATATGGCGATAACAGGACGCACGGTACGACTACGACCACGTGGTTGTAAAGCCCGATAGTATGTATATGTGTGTGTAAATCATCGAACGAGGCCCGGATAGGAAGCGTCGTGAAACTCTGACGCACATGTCCCGGATACGGGGTCCGGGTGGAAAGAAAAACACTGCCCACCGTGCCAAAGTATCGTGACGAGGATGAGGGTTTAAGACTGCGGTCGGAGACTTGGGAAGTCGTACATTTGCAACCGCAAGAGAAATTAAATCTATGGAGTTATTGCGTGGAATGTACAAAGTCGTCCCTGGTAAGGCTAGCCTTACTACTATCTTCGATGAAAAAGTACAGAGATAAAGTTATGGCGTAACGAGACAAATTCGTTTCAATTTCTCCTTTCGATTCGGATCGAAATCTCGAATAGCTTGCCCTTCACGGTCTATCTCGATAGAGATCAATTCGAGAGATAAGTTGCTCCATCCTACACATCGTTTCGTGTCCCCAACGCATCCGGATAATAACCCCTGTCCCCTGATACGTTTCTCTCCAACGACGAATTAGGGATGTTTTCGGAATCGCGAAACGGTCAAAGGGGGCCGACGATGAAGGGAATAAACACGCGCGTCCACGACCGCTGTCTCGTTGGATCTCCATTGGTAAATTGATGGTTGGCTTACCTCCCTTTAAGAAGCATTAAATAATCAATCGTGTCCATAAAATCGCCGTGGAATCGACACGATAAGAACGATAACATTTTTTCAATATTCCATTTCGTTCTCTGTCTCAGACATCGCCATGGACTGGTCGGATCACGCGTTATGGTGGCCGGAGAGGAATCACTGGTTGACGAGAACGAGAAGCACTCTGGACCAGTATGGGGTCGCCGCCGATGCCCTCCTGCACTTCACACCGATGCACAAGACTCTGAGAGTCCAACTGCCCGATATGCGCTGCCTCGATTGCAAAGTCGACTTCTCTGTGAAAACGTTCAACGCCGTGATTAATTTATGCAAGGAATTAGGTGAGCCGATCTTTTCTCCTTGAAGATTTAACGAATATTAAACGAACTCGATTCATTTTGAATTCCATCAGACGATTAACGCGAATCAGGATTAAAACCAGGCACGTTAATTCGCACGAGACCACGGTGTTAATTAGTCCCGATAATGAAATAAAATTGTTAAATTCGCAGTCACGCGAAGGTCACGGGGAGTCTTCGTGCGAGTCAAGTCGAGCGTGGCTATTCCAACGGCCAGCTTTTTTAATCAAGGAAGTGGTTCGCCGCGATAATGAAGGCATTGTATCGCGTCGCCTTGCTTTATAATAACTTAGAAAAATATATTTTTGTTGAGAATATATTTTTTCGTAGTCGAGCAGCGCGATCTGGAAAGGGATAATTAATCACGATTTCGCGATGTAATCAACTTATTATTATATATCATAAAAAGAAAAAGGAAAAAAAATTATGACGAAGAAATTTCAAACGCGTCGAGTTAATTTATTTGCGTTGATGTAACCGTTATTACGTCTCCTTACTTGTTTTTTGTCCATACTGTCGCGGACAGATGACCTCGTCGATAGCCTGACTCGTGTCATACTCGTAAATAGACATGGTAACGAACAACCATTTAGTTATTTCCTTGGAACAAACAAATTACCGTGAAAAAAATACAAAAAAAAAAAAAAAAAAAAAAAATGCAATATATAATTTCATCAAACCGTGCATCATATAGCGAAACAATATATTCGAATGATTAACCGGTAGAAAATATAAAACGAAATTCTTTATCGTGAAAAATTCAGGTATCAGACATCCAGAGGAGTTGTCGTTCTGCAAACCGCTCGAGCCGAATCATCTGAAATACAATTTGAAAGATCTGCCGGCCAAGAAGAAGATCGAGAACCAGAAGAACGGGCATTGGAACGTTCCAGCGGATACGAACACGTTCATCCCGGTGAGCCAAAGTCCCAGGGGATCGACGGGTAGCCTGGATCAGAGCAGCCCTTTCATGTGCGCGCCGGTCACACCCAACAACAGAAATCACAGCACGCCGATCAGCTCACCCGTCTCGGTGAGTACCACGACGAATCTCTGGACTTAAACGCACTGTCGTGGATCTAAATTCGGATCCAAAGATAGAGGAGAAGATAGGATCGAAACTATCTAGAGAGAGCCGGACCTGTTATGGTAATAAATAATCCCCCGACCGACCCGATTGCCGTGGCTATGATTTATCGATATTGGCCTATCATTACCGCTTACGGAATCGTTCAGAAAACTAATTTGCTTCTCGCGAGCGGCTCGTTTTTCCAACCGACGGTTGGGAATTGGTGGCCATTATGGTGTATTTATTGCTCGGTTACGAGCACAATCTTGTTGGCCGAACGCGGACTCACGTTTCCCCTGTTTGATTGGGTTTCTTCCAGCAAACCGGTACCTGGAAGAGGAACAACAACTCGTCAGGTTTCGGTAGCACCGGCTCATTCAACGCAAACAACAGTACCATGAGTCTAGAAGTGTTGAACGGTGGACTGTCCGAGTCGTTGGCCCAGAGTCCTGCCACGATCTCGCCGGAGGTGAGGGCAAAGTTGATCAGGCCGAAGAATCTTGTTGAGCGCGCAAGAATGAACGTTGCCTGGCTCGATTCATCGTTGTCGATCATGGAGCAGGGAATACGCGAATTCGACACCCTCAGGTTGAAGTTCAAGTTCTATTCGTTCTACGATCTGAACCCGAAAACCGACGCTGTCAGGATCAACATGATTTACGAGCAGGCCAAATGGCAGCTGCTCGCCGAGGAGATCGACTGCACCGAGGAGGAGATGCTCATGTTCGCTGCGTTGCAGGTATATTACATATCCCTCATACAGATATAACAATATTCCATTAACCCTTTCCGGTTGCTGGGATTCGCTAGGATGGGCCAGCTGCGCGACTGTTTACGCGGCTAAAGTTTTCACGATCCAAACATCCGGCCCTCGTCGACCGGATCGATCTATATATACGTCCAGAATTGGTCTCGGTGAAACGATGGAACGGAAATAGTTGGCGATGACACGAGAGCTCGCAGCTTCAGGACTCGTTTCTGAAATTGAGGAAAGGATCGGGTTATCGAGATAAAAAAAAATAAAAAAAAAAAATAAAAATAAAAAAAACGATAGAAAGTAAACTTGCGACGGATCATGCTTGATCGCGTGGAAGTTGGCCAATTAAAGACATTCTACGCCCCTACGATAAATCGCCTCCGCGCACAGTTTATTTCTCGTATGCAAATCTCGTTTCCTTAAATCGAATCGAGAAAACATTCGCGTCGTTTTTCCGATACACCGCCTACCGGTTTCTCGATTAATCGCGTCACGGTTATCGGATAAAAAAAAAAAAAAAGAAGAGAGGAGAAGAGAAGAGCTCGTAATCCCAAGGTAGAAGCAAAAGATGGGCGTCGGTCACATTTGTATTCCGTGTCGCAGGTGCAAGTGAATCTTCAGGCGAGTGTACCGCAGCCGAGTTACGACAGCAATGGCGCCGCCTCCCCGATCGAGGATGACATTGACGCAGCCTTGACGGATCTCCAAGTGACCCTCGAGGGCAGTAACATCAGTAACGGGCCCAGCGACATCACTCAAGTGCCGGAGTTGTGCGACTACCTGCGTTTCTTGAAGCCCAAACGTTTCACTTTGAAGGCGTTTAAACGCTATTGGGTCACGTGCAGGGACCTTCAGTTGAGATTGTACAAGAGCCGGGAGGAGACGAACAGTACCGAGTCGCCTGCCCACGTGATCAATTTGCGTGGATGCGAGGTCACGCCCGATGTCCATCTCTCGCAAGGTCGTTATGGAATCAGGTTGGAGGTGCCTAGTGCCGAGGGCATGACCGAGATGTGGATCAGATGCGACAACGTGAGTTTATTATTTAACCCCCGCCTTCGTCTACGTTTCAACATTCGCAATTGAAATTTAATTAAATTCTCGGTTAACTATTGCAGGAACAGCAATATGCTAAATGGATGGCGGCGTGTAGATTGGCAGCCAAGGGTCGCTCCCTCGCGGACGCTTCTTACGAAAGCGAGGTAAACAGTATCACTGCCTTCTTGCAATTGCAGAGGCCCGCCCCTGCACCTGCGATCAACCCAAACGCTCTTGATATCGTGCCCGAGGATTATGTTGCTCCCAGATTCGTGAAGAAGTTCAAAGGAAAGGTATGTTTCATATTTATGTACGATCCTTTTTTCGCATTGGTTGAATTCATCTTTCCTTTCTCGCAGTTGGTCCAGAGGATTTTAGAAGCACACGCCAACGTTAAGGATCTACCTTTGATCGAGGCTAAATTGAATTACATCAAAGCCTGGCAATCTCTTCCCGAGTATGGGATCTCTCTCTTCGTAGTCAGATTCACTGCGAAGAGCAAGGACGAATTGTTGGGTATCGCTAATAATAGGCTGATGCGGATGGAGCTGCACAGTGGTGATCACTTGAAAACTTGGAGATACAACACGATGAAGGTAAGTGGATCGATCTGGTGTGCAAACAGTTAAGAAGTTTTAGCTCTGGATAAAAGATTTTCTATTATCGACATCTTATTTGTACAGGCATGGAACGTAAACTGGGAAGTGAAGCATATGATGGTCCAATTCGAAGAAGAGAATATTATCTTTGAGTGTCAGTCCGCAGACTGTAAAGTTGTTCACGAGTTCATCGGAGGATATATATTTTTGTCGATGCGATCGAAGGAGGCAAATCAAACGTTGAATGAAGAGATGTTTCATAAACTAACTGGTGGATGGGTTTAACGAGTCGTGAGAAATTTATGAGATGATATTTCTTTAAAAAAACTTACATTTATCGAAGCATAATTTGTTGTCATACGTGGAAACGGAAAGCTCTGATCTGAGAAACAACGAGACACGTTGGTTGACATTTGTAAAAAATACTTAAATATATAACTTTAGATGTTTTGTTAAAGTATTTGTAAATAGAGAAATTGTATCGTTTGTATACAATTGCCGCGCTCATTAAGAGTGTAACTTTTATTTCACATAGGAAATTAATCGTTTTTAGCGAATTAATCGTTCACCTGAAGTACGAGAAGGTCGAGCCATTGTAACCTGAAGATAAAAAAAGTTTGTAAAGCAATTTAGCGGGTTAATAGCGAATTTTGTATATGATCATAAAATAATATTTACTGATGTCTTGTTACGTAGAACATAAATTGTAAAACACGCACAAGATTCGATCAGACTAAACCGCGCCCTTTTCTACACGCAATATTGTTGAAGATCACGAACTAATTAATATTTTTACAGATAAGCATGTTATATTCGAGCTGCCCTCTAGACTCAACCTCATTAGATAATATTCTTTATAATATTTTTTTTTTCTCGCCAAGTCAACCTCTTTCAGGCAAAATATACGTGTAGTTTTAACATCAGGGGTGCTATGCTGAGCGAGATTGACTTAGACGCGAAGATTATATTAAATTGTGTAAATTATTTGTTGTTTTAATGTAAACTATATATATTAAAAATATTTACTTGTACCGTTACATATTATCTTCTTATATTGTATCACGTTTTCGAACGTGTAAAAATTATAGTTTTGTATATTGATAGATACTAGTTGTACAATAAATTTAATTATTATCATTTTTTTAGATTTATTTCCGATTTATAGTAAATTGTTGTTCACATAATTTTAGCCACGATTAAAATTGATAGTGATATTTTTTTATTAAAAGAATGCGTTATTAAAAACCATGTATAGATCAACAATAATCAGGAAAGTAAAAAAATATATTATAAACATTCATGTGTTCGTCGACGTTCGACGTACGAACGACGCTGGTTCATCCTTGTCGGTCCCATGTTTCTTCACTCAATGGCGGACAATTGTGTATCTTTACCCGGATTGTCCGTAGACTTTACGGCATTACCATGATTTTGATTGTCAGCATTCTTGAACGAAGGTAGACCTCTTAATACCACGGGTACGTTACCTGCAGCTCCTGCCCCGACTAAATTTCCTCCACCTCCACAAGTCTAATATAAATTAAAAGAATCGAAAAACATGGGAACGCAAAATATATTAAAATTTTTTTTTCTTATTGTAAATGTAAATGATCAACCACCTGTGCGTGAATAGGCGGTGCTGAATGTACTAATCGACCGGTAAGAGATCCAGGCTTCTCCTTTTTAGTGCGTACCCACTCGTGGCCTAGAACCCTTTCCAATGTTAACCTTAAAGTAATATCTGGTTCTAGGATATGTTTAACAATGCTCTTTGCAAGCGCAGAAACTGTTTCCCGCACTCGCGATCGAAACATCCAGTTCCTCGACATTTGATCTTTCAACAGCTTCTTCAAGTTCGAATCGTCAAAAGGCATGGAGGCATTTAGCATGATAAATAGGATTATCCCAAGCGACCAGACGTCGGCCAGTTTCGGGTTATAGGGGGTACCGGAAACAACTTCCGGTGCTGCATATGCCGCGGAGCCACAATAGGTCTCGCTGAGAACGCGCCTTCCCTCATGGTCAACGCAGAATCTCGCGAAACCAAAGTCTGCAAGCTTCACATTGAACTTCCTGGATAACAAAATGTTCTCGCATTTAAGATCACGATGGGCGATATTTTTTCCATGAAGATAGTGCAGACCGGAAGCCATCTGTCTGAACCAGAGCTTTGATTGTTGTTCCGGTACAACACCATTCCGTTTTACAAAGTCCAGGAGATCACCATTGTCCGCATAACGCATAAATATGAAGACTCTTGGACCACGCTGTAATATACTGTGCACCTGTAATTTTTTTTTATCGAATGTTAAGTAACGTATTGTTCTCTTTGTATGGACATCTTACTTGAATGATATGGGGATTTTCGATCTTTGTAAGGATTTCGAGTTCACGAGGAAAGAACTTGTTGAGGAAATCAAGCGGTGCTTTCTCTTTGTCGAATATCTTACAGGCTAATCGCAATTTCTTTGAGCTCGTCCCGTCCACATATTCGGCCAGGTGTACGGTCGCATACGAGCCCTAAAAATTCCAGTTTGCCTTCAAGAGTAATTATTCGGTAAAATAAAAACAATTCAAGTTATAAAAAGTAAAAAATATAAAGTAAAAAAAAAAAAAAAAAAAAAAAGAAAAAAAAACGAGTAGTCGCTCAACGAAAGAAATGCGAACACGAGAGTAATTGAGAAAGAATCTACAGTTTAAAAAGAAACAAACGACGCAATATTGTAGAAGGAATGTAAGAAGCAGGTAGAGGGGAAATGAAAGAGGTTAACGAACAGGTAGGGAGTACAGGGTTGGAGGTAAATAACCTGTCCGATTTTTTTGCCAATAAGATAGCCCCGCTGCTCAAGAGCGTTCACCTCCGAATTTCGGGGGCTGAGTTGCGTGGCCATGCCAGTGGATCTTCATTGGACTTCGGATCCTGATAACAGATAACTGATTCTTTTTTCTTTCTTCTTCTTTGCACACCCTTTCTTCTTCTTCCGTTCCTTTATACCTAAAACTTACTTCTTTTTTATTCTATATCGCTGACAAGTTTTCCCCCTTTGAAACGTCTACCCGCACCTTCCTTGAACGTGATTTGATCAATTTTGTTGTTAGAGATCTGCAATTCGCGCTCCGCAAGGAGCCGAAGGACGCCTCGCTGAATATCACGTCGATGAACCCGAGTCGGGGAACCGTTCTGTCATTTCAAATGGCTGCGTGCACTAGAATTTTGAGCGACACCAGCTTGTACCTGGTACGGAACGGGGCAGAGGAAAAGATCCGTGTCTCATTCGAACACAGCCATTATATTTAAAAACAACAAACGATCGATTCGCGAGTGCGATTTCGCCATACTTAGATTCGATTTTAAAGCATATTCACGTCGTACATAATACATTTAAAAACACACGGTATATTTTATAAATATATTATATTTTTTTTTCTAATTCGATTAATAGGTTAAGACATGATTAAAAATTAAGATACCTTTCATTTTTGCGATGTGTCATTCATATTTTTGATTTGAAATAAATCAATATTTATATTTATAGATGTTTTTTATTAAATGGTATTATACATTGCGTAAAAACAAATTACGCAGCTGGATCGTCACCCTTAGTAGTACGTGTGTAAATTAACTGTGCATGATGCTGTACAACTTGTTTAATAAGTCCCTTTTGTTGCAATTCAATCAATGCTCTCCTTGCAAGTGATCCACGAATCTTTAACCTTTCACTAACAATGGATGGCGTGATCAATTTATATTGTGGTACTTCCTTCAGCAATTTTTCATATGTGCTTTTATCAAACAATACTTGATTGTTTAACTTGTCACGTACTTTTCCTTTGGACCACTTCTACGATAAAAAAAATAAATAAAAAATGTAAAGTATATCTATTCATGTTCATCTACTTAAATTTATTTATTATATTATATATATATATATCAGGCTCATTAAATCAGCTTTTTACTTCCATGATTTATCAAGCTTATAAATATTCATCACGTAATATTTTATTTTATAAAGTTATACTTATAAGTTATTATTCTGATAAATAAATATCTATCATAACTATCTGCAATAACTATGATACTAACCTTTTTCTTGGCTTTGCCACCAGATCCTCCTTCTTTTTTCTTTTGTGTTTTTTGTGGTTGTTTTGAAGATCCCTTTGTATCCTTTTTAGGCGGCTGAAACATTAAATGAAATTAGAACAAGAATATTCATAAAAAAATAAATACCACAATCAAATAATATATACTGATCAGGCTCATTAAATCAATATTATACTATCATGAATTTAATCAAGAATGAGTTTTTCATCACGATAATTAATTAAAGAAAATATTAATTCGTAAATAATTATTTTGTCAATAATTTTTCACAATGTCAACAAAACATTGAGACAACAAAAGAAGTTATGATTTTTTAATGAAAACAATATTTTTTATTATATATAATGCATAAAAATTAATATAATTCTATAAAACTAACGAAAACATACTTTAATTGAATGTAATGATATTCAAATAAGATATCTTTTTTGCATACACGTATACACCATGTGGATGAAATTATCGAGAAAGGTTATCTACTTGATATATAAAATTCATATAAAACTTGTAAATTAATTCTTGAAATAATATCACTGCACTACATAGAAAAGTAATTTTTATTACGAAACTTTTAAGATAAATATTATTAAAACATAATTAAAACATTTCTTTCACAAATACTCACCATGATGGCTGTCGACTATGAAAGAAAAGGGAAGTGCGTATATCGCCATTTTGAATGTTCATTACATTCAGCGCTATCTACAATTCACTACATTAATAAATATTATTTCTAAAAGAATCAAAAATTTAAAAAATGACATATTAATAGTTAAATAAATAGTTATTTGACTAAAATTATTTTTTATACTATAAAATTGTTGGGATGAATTCGTAGAATGCAATACACGTGTTTCGAATAACCATGAATCAGACTGTCAGTCACTCAGGAGTGGCTGTAGCGTGTGAAGCATGGCGCTACGCTGTGTGTTTTTGAGTCCCGGTTTTTCACATCTTTGACCCGTTTACAAAATGTATTCACGTTAAGAATATCGTTCGGTATAATTTAATCAATCACAAACATCTCTTTATATTTACTTTTATACGAAAAGGTAATTTATTTTTTTTTGATCATTATTTTTATATAAGGTTAAGATACCTTTCACTTATTGCGACGTGTCATATGTGTTTTTATTCTACGTGTATTAATATTGAACGAATATTGATGAAATAGTTTAATAACGTGACAATTAATCTCAGATTAAAACTGATTTATAATATATATATACAATAGTTACCGATTAACAGATATTAACAGATAAGTGAGGTTATCGTTAATCAGTTTTATGTTTGTTATATTCTTAACATATTTTTGGTCTTATAATATGAATATTTTTCTTGATATACAAGATTAATATTTAAATGTTTGCATTAATATGTATTTGTATTAATATGCAAATATAAATATAATTAAAATTTTAATTTATAAAAATTGAATTTTAGATAAACATATGAAAAGTTTTAATATAATAAAAAATTACTTTTTATTTTTAGGATAAACTTCATTACTGAAACAACCTTGTGCTTATGAAAATGCTTCCTCTTTCACACAAAGATTCAAGAAACCTTGGCAGTAGAATAAAGGAGAAATTATTAGGATGGAAACGTTTGATATTTTCTGACAAAAATACTAGAAATTTATTTTTATTTCTTTTATTGAATTTATCTTTTGCCTGCATTGAATTAATGTATGGAATATGGACAAACAGCTTGGGTTTAATATCAGATAGTTTCCATATGTTCTTTGATTGTACTGGCTTATTATTTGGTTTGGCTGCATCAGTAATTACAAAGTGGAGAGCAAATGAACGATATTCTTATGGCTATGTCAGAGCAGAAGTTTTAGGAGGATTTGTCAATGCTCTGCTTTTATTCTTTATCGCTCTATTCATTATGTCTGAAGCCGTGGAAAGAGCCATTGAACCTCCAGAGATTAAACACGAAAGACTTTTGGTTGTGTCCATTATGGGATTAATAGTCAATTTAGTAGGAATGTATGTATTTCGTCATGGACATGGACATAGTCATGGAATGGGACATGGTCATTCCCATTCCCATTCCCATGGAAGTCATACACAATCTCATTTAAACCACAGTCATAGTCATGATCATCATGATATAGAAATTGATCCTTCCTTCAGTGGTACAAATTCTCAGATTATGAAAGGAGTTTTCTTACATATCTTAGCAGATACTCTTGGATCTGTAGGTGTAATTATATCAGCAGTACTGATGCGTCTATTTGGTTGGTTTATAGCTGATCCAATTTGTTCTATGCTGATATCAGTATTGATAGTTTTAAGTGTGCTTTCTTTAATGAAAGATTCATGGGAAATTTTAATGCAAAGACAACCAGCTGCATTGGATCATATTTTACCACAGTGTTATAATAAAGTGACACAATTAGCTGGAGTATATAGTGTGCAAGAACCACATTTCTGGACACTTTGTTCAGATGTGTATGTTGGGTGCTTGAAATTGGAAGTTGCCAGAACAGTAGAGCCTAAATATGTTGTAGCACACACTCAGATGATTTTTCAAGCTGCTGGAGTAAGGCATTTAACTGTTCAATTAGATTATGCACCTATGTGATCTATGAAAACTATGCATGTCATTAAGTGTTCATACAAGTGCTCCAAAACTGTATTTATTTGTGGAGTTTGTCAGAAACAAGCAAGAAATATTGCACTTGTGCAAAATATTTTTGCCATTTTAAAATTGTGCAGATATTTTGTTCTAAGTAATAGTGAATATCACCTTGGGTTGCAGATTATTTAAAAATCTGTTTAAATCTTTTAAAAAAAGTGAAAAGACTTACCAGAACTTATATGACATAGGATCCTATTAAGAGAATAGGTCTTATGATCAAGCTAATGCATTTTTGACTTGTCCATCACCAATAAAAATCATTGATTTCATTTCTTTCTAATCTTATTGTTGTAAATATAGATATTTGTTCATCTATAGTTAATGATATATTTATATATATATATATATATCATTATTTCATGAAATTGTAGTTTTTTATTTACAACAACTTTGGTCCTGTACTATGTATTGTACAAAATCTTAAATAATGTTTTATATTATCTACAGAAGTCTTTATATTATAATGCATTTTAAAATATTGAAGATACATCAAATTACATTTTTTACCTTTATAATTGAAGCCACAATTATAAAAATGTTTTTACCTTACCTTTATTATTGCATTATTTTTTGTATAAAATATCTATTTACAAAAAAATTCAAACTTCATGGTCAAATTTGTGCAAAATAAAAGAAAATCATCAAATTATATTATAAGCAGCTGTAGACTGCTAGTCATTATTATACAGAAAGTGTGAAATATACGTTATATATAAATATAACTTTATAAAGTGTAATATATAAAACAATATTCTTATGTTTGAAATTGTGCTTTCCTTAAATAAATTGTACTTTTGACATACTGTCCACATTAAGTGGATTTATCTAATCGATATTAAATAAATAATTAATACGTACAAGATCGTTTTATGGCAATATACATATATTTATATTAACGAAATATCATTATTATTGATGAATATTATTTAAACAAATTGCGAATGATGTCAAAATATGCTATAAGAAGTTTTTTAAAATTTTAATAGCAATGGAATTTTCTTATCACTTCATTTAAAGTAGGAAGCGATTGAAATGAAATAAAATGTTTTATAGAGAAAGCATGGTCTAACATATGCACTTAGTGCAAAATGTCAGCCAAAATTTTTCATCGTTTTTTATTAATGCTGTAATACATTGTTCAAGACAAATTACGAAGTTAGAATTAACGGCAGATTTGTAAACATAAATTTTAAGCACGACCAGGACATTCCATTATAGTCGAGGTATATTACTTGTATATTTGAGATTGTGATGATATAGGCCAAAATGTAGATATCGGTAGAATGAAATGAAACAATTAGAATATTTAGTGATAATGTAGAGTAATTTTTCTATCGAATTGCTGTACCATCGTACACTGAAATGATCGAATTATTTGCAGTTCTATCCGATGCAATTACTTCTACGAAGAGCGATGTAATTTCCGAGATGAAAGTCAACATTGTTATGTTTTATTAACATGATTGTATAAATAAAAAATTCAGAAGAGTAATCTTCTAAAATGTAAATAATAAAGAAAAGTGCTTATAATAATTTTCGACTTCCACATTCATACAAAGTCCTCTTATAGATAACATCTTCTTATAAAATAGAAAATTTATCAAGATCATGTACATATGTATTTTTATCGATATGGGAAATCATCTTTACAACAAATTTTCAAACACATATTACATTTATTTGAAGGATATGTATACACATATAAATACATAAATATTTATAATAAAATTACTGAAACTGATTCCAGACGATAAAGCGATCTTGGACGCGTGGACAATGTACTTACGCGCGTATGGTGTCAGCTTCAGTCTCTCACCGCTTGAATTAGTAATTTAAATGGCCTCACAAAATTTGCAGATCGTATCTTTGATGCCTTCTATCTTTTGTGGTGTCTTATGTACATAGCAAACTATCAAAAATGAAAAATCGTGTGGAACTTTTGTCCCTGCGAGGCTATACCTGCCTATCTAAAGTGGACCGTAAAAGGGAATCAAAAATTACGTTTTCTCACTAATAGTACAAAAAATCGAACGAACACCGTGGAATTGCTTTTTTGCATAAAGCTGAACAAAAGTTGATCGAACATACTCGTTGGTTTGTTTCACGTATGATTAAACGTATTTTTTTTCCTTGCTTTCTTTTTAATCATTATTTTCATTTCTTCAAGGTATATGGCAGTATCGTATTTCTGCTTTTTTATTGGCAAAGGGACAGCAGAAAATCACACATTGCGTTTTAATTCGGCGATAGATGGATAGAAATCGTCGTATCGCGCTTATTCTAAAAAATAACAAATTCCTGATATAATATCGATACTCGCGAATAAAATCTACAATTACGATTTGGCAGTTGAGTGTCGCACGTTCTCTTTTACTCGCAAAAAGTAAGTATTTTTTGTTGCTCTTTTATTTCGTTCTTCATTCCTTATTATTATACAATAGCCATTATTTTCTAATTTAATGTGTACAATAGAATTCAAAATTCGAGGACGTCTCTCTTTTACTCTCTGGATACGTATTTTTTTCTTTTCTACCCACTACTATAGAATATAATTTATAAAATTTCTTCAAATTTCCAACAACACGCCATCCGGTAAAGCCATTTCACTCATGGATCGTCGATTGTAATTCAATCGATCGTAACATTTAATAATCATGATCAGAATATACTAGTAATCGTAGGAATAATAATAATAATCGCAATAATGACAATAATAATAATATATTACTCTGAATCATATTTTACAGTCCATCTAACAACAACGAACGTATCTAGTTGCAACAGCCTCTTTTTTAATTATTATTTTTTTTTCTTTTTTTATTTTTTAAATATCTTTCGATAATACATATGCGTATGTATAATTGGTCTTGCTAAAATTTTTATCTCTTTTAATTTTATTTATTCTTTCTCGTTGAAAGAATATATATATATATATATTTTTTTTTACCCATCCTTCTGTACGATTTCGACATTTTTCTGCGTATAACGGACCATCGAGAATAATGCTCGAGCTAATAATGCTACGATCTATAGATCTATATCGTTAGGAAAGTGATGACGCGCAGAAAAGGAAATCACAGTAAGACGAAAATCCACAAAGTGTTGGCTTCATTCCCTTCTTCCTCTCCTTCTTCACGCCTTTCTTCCTCGTGTGAGTACTCTTCTTATTCTACATGCCTCTTACGGCTAACACCGTCTATCTCGTATCTTTCTAAAACTACGTTATTCTCATCCTAAAACATTCTCTTAGCCTCTCTCTTTCCAAGATCCGTTTCACCGGATCATTTACGGAATCACGTGCAACCAATCATCCCCCTCCCCCACTTCGAACGTTTCCCATCTCTATATTTTCATTCATCTACGGATCAAATTCCAATCGTTATTTTTCTACGGCCATATTCTTCCGTGATCGAACAATTACGAAATTTCCACGTCGTTGACAACCAAGAATTCTCCAACCGAATCTTCACTTCTTTTTACCTTTGCTACTCTTCTGGACCTTGGTGATCTTCAGCCTGCAGTTCGACCCACCGGTGTACACGACTTCCGCCCTTCCACCCTCCTCTATCGCGGCGACCAAAGCTTTCACCGACTTTACGTGCACGTCTTTGGCACTGATCTCCAACGAGGTGCCCGGAAACCGATCTCTAACACATTTTCCGATACTGGAAGCCTGCGATTCCGTGAGATCCACTCCATCCAGACAGAGCCACGTCAAGTACTGTAGATGCGTCAGGATCGTTTGCACGAATACGTGTTCCATTTGCACCTTCTTCGCGCTGTCGGTCACGATCAATCCATTCGCCTTTAAGAAGCTCAGGTTGCACAGCTTCAGATACTTGGCTATCTGCCTCATCGTCTTCTCGCTGTCCTCCAACGTGATCCGCCAAAAGTTAATCCTCAGGGACTGTAGATTCTTGAAGTGAGAGGAGAAGCAGGCGAAGAACTGTTGGAGGATTTTGTCATCGATGAACAGCAATGATCCGCTACTGCCCCCTATGGTCGATTTGTCCAACGAGAGATCGAGCTCGCTGAGGGCTGTGAAACCGGCGAGGAATGGCAAAAGAAGCGGCCCTCGAAGCGCCAAACGATCGTTCACTGTCACCTGAAATCAGAGATAACAATTATGCATCACCTCTATCTTTCTATTTCTCTTTCAGAAAAAAAGTATCGAGTAACGAAGACCTAAGAAACGAGAATTTCGCGGGGGTCGATCGTTCGAAGGATGGATCGAATTCGATCGTCATAGGAATAGGAATAGGCGAGCAGAAAATTCATAGGATCCGCCTTAAGGAAGTGCGTTGTTTGCCAAGGTTTTACGTAACGAATCGAAGAGCGTAATATCGATAGTCGGATTTCTACTTCGTAACCGAGCACTCGAGACCGGTTTCCCCAACAGGACGAATAATCTATCTACGTGGTTTGGACGGCCGCTGGTCGCAAACCGCAAACGAATCATCGTCGGCCTCGAATTACGAATCGACCGATTCGAGGGCTGGAGTGAAGTGTCTCGAATGTGCGCGTCGAATCCTTCGGGAACTCGATACGTCGACACGACTTCTCGTTGAACGTCGTGACGCATCGTTACCTCGCATCGTTCCACTAGGTATACGAGTATTTATCGGTGAGACCCTCGAACGATCCCTTTTGAGAATGGAATTGGAATAGTCGCTTACGAAGTGTCTTAGGTAGGTTGAACATTTCGATATTACGATCCAATTAGCCTCTCTATTCACGGCACAAAGGGAGCCACTTGATTTTGACTCTCGTCAAACATGGTCGCTGATCTGATTCGTCGTGATGGTCAAAAACTCGGCTCAGAGAGAAAGTCGGCTAGGATGAAACTGGGCTAGGATACTTTTCATCCGGGATTACTTACTTGAAAACCGGCCAGCCTGAGAAATACAATGGCGGGACAGGCGGGAGGAGGCGCAGCTCTGAGCAACTCCGCTCCTGCATCGTCCCTACGACCTAATCTCGCCAAAGGACCCTCGTGGACGGCCAGATGTAGCCGGGCGTTGCACAGGCTCAACTCGCGGACGCTCGTGTATCTGAGCAGCTCGGAAAACACCGCCAGACTGTCCGATTCCTGCAACATTCGTCGTATTTTTCTTCTTTTTTACGTTTATTTTGATTAAAATTTGGAGAAATTCAACACATTTGATAGTTAATATTTATGCATTTATAGGAAATTAGAATATAGAATACACGTGTAAAAAAGATACAAAAATCCAGGATAGTTACTTAAATTCTATTTTCTTTAATTGATATTCATAAAAATATAATTATATAGAAGGAATATCGTTTCTTAAAAAATAATTTCTTGACGAAAGTTTAGGAGATATTTAATATAATATAGATAATATAGAAGAAATGACGTAAATCACATTCTTTGAAAACGATTTACATAGTTGAAAAATTTCTTTATTCAAATTTCCAATTGATGAATCAATTTGAAAACTTAAGCAATAAAGAGTTAAAGTTTCTTGAAGAATTAAATCATTAAATACCTTAATTAATTTTCCACATAAAATGAACAACGACTTCCAAATGAATTTTAAATAATTTCGTCAATACCTTATAAATTAAATGACATCGTAAAATAAATTTGCTCGCCTATACTTAAAATTTCAAAAATCTAGATAAAATTTGTTGATACGTTATTAATTAATTTATCGCATTATCGGATTGATCCAACAAATTAACCCTATTTAATTATCCAGAGAATATCTAAGTCACTTCTCGAAGATCCTTTGATCGCTTCGCCCTCCATTATTAATGCGCGTTTCCCGCGCTAAGCGAAGAAAGTGGTTCTCCCTAGCGTCGCGACGTCGAAATCTCTCGCGGTATTACATTATCCCTGCAATGAGACGGGAACAAAGCGACGTGTGCGACGTGGAACAATGGATGGTGGCGAGATTACAGGATCGCGTGCGTCGAAGCTGCATCGATAAAGCCAAAGCTAACAAGGCTACGACTAATCTCGAAATCGAGTTTGCGAATCGAGTTGCGGAGTCGCTTTGCCTCCGTAAACTATTCGTTTGCCTCGAATGGAACGCATAATGCGATCAGTCCACGAAAGTAAGTCCACGAGAGGACCACGAGACCGGAAATGGAAGATGGAAGCCGTAAAATCTCGAGACCGACGATCCTCTCGTTTCCTTTGAAACCTCGACCGCCCGAACTTTCCTCAGGATCTATCCTATACAACGAAATAGCGTAACTCAATTAGAATCGTCACGGATCCGGATAGTTGAGCGACACGATATCGATTTCTCGTTCGAATCGATCACGAGATTCGCAAGCCTCTCATTTTAACTCGCGAGGACCACGCTCTTCCATCGCGATGGAGACGCGGATGTGCGTAACGGAATCGTGATCACCCCTCTGGGATCTCGCGTGATTCGTGGAAACCGGGTACGAAGGAGCGAGAAAGGCAGTTTTGATGGAAAATTGCGTTCCGAATCAGGAGGGAATCGTGGCCACGATTGAAACAATCGACATTCCACCAGAGATTTGGGGTTACGAGCCGAAGTTCGTAACGTTTGTAGATAGAGCTAAAACGGGGTATCGATCAGGAGGAATATTTTATGAAGGTTGCGCTTCAAATACTCGCATATTCGACTCGTCGTTTAAAAATGTTTACTCGATAATCGGAGCAACAAGTAGCCGCGCGTTATTTTAATCGGTCTCTTCTATTTTGCCGCTTTTCGACCGAAATTAATTCTTTCGGCCGCAAAAAAAAGGTGTCATTGTCTTTTTACCACGAAACGTATTACGAGGACGCTTTTTCTCTCTCTTTCTCTCCGTCTCGCAGCTAATCCTTTCGCTATCTTGTCTTTTTTCGTCAGCCAGGTGGTCGGTTTATAGGATTCGAGGTTTTGCGAGGATCGAGATGCCAGGGGAGGTGCGAATTTGAATTTTTTCGGGAGAATTTTTTACCTCACCCCCGATTCCAGAGGCATTCAGCCCTTTTTTCCGCATGAAATAATTTCAACGACGAGGATCGTGTGATTTACGAAGGCAGTTTTCGTGGCCCGGCTTGAATAACGCTGAGAAAATTGGCCAAAATTACGGACGGTGTGGACCAACCAAATGCCGGAGGAATGCACGATTACGATCCTCGCTTCCCGGCGAATGTAATGAACCTTCCTTTATTTTTTTATCGACGCGACAAAGAATTTTTCTCAACTATCTGCAAACGAAGCAGAAAGAAATCTCTCAAGAATGAAACAATCGACGACGAATTAACATATTTTTACACACGACATTTACCTCTTTCTTATAGTTTCTTCTCTATTAACTTTGCAAAGGTTATCCACAAAATTCAGAGCAAACGTTTCGAAACTTCCCGACGACGAAATTAATTATTCCGCGCAAGAACAAATCACCTCCCGTTTTCCGCCCGTCTCTGCGATGTTATTAATGATTAACATCGGTTCTCATACACGAGAAATTGTAACAAACTATCTCGTTTCCACGATTTCAACTTTTGTCTGGAGAATCGGGGCGAAAACATTAGAGAGTTGGAGAGAGGGAGGGATACATGGACGACATCGTTTATTGCGGAGAGAACGATGGCCGACAACCGCGTCGTGTTTGAAAATTGTTTTTCGCCCAGGGGATCGTTGATACTGTGCTCCATGCTACGTGAAACGGTCAGGTCGATGAAAAATACCGGAGTGGCCTTATAAATTCAATGAATCGGCAGCCGTGGCACGATTCTTTTTAAATGGAAATCATCCCGGATCGTGACAGGCCGAACAATAATGTCGCACAGTCGGGGCAGAAGTGGAGTGAGGGAAGAGGGAGGGTGAATGGAGAGAGAGAGAGAGAGAGAAGTGGATCGCTCGAGAGAGTGGAACTCGAACGAGCTGCATTGTTTATAATCATTCTCGTGCGTTAAATTAAATCTGGCCGGGGCTCGTCCCGGCTTCATTGTTTTCCACGCGTGATGTCGTCGTGTCATCGGTAGGATTTTACGGTTACACAATTTATCCTGGATTATTCTGTTGGAATTCTAGTTCTACTCGAGATGTGCGCCTTTCCAGGGAGGAAGCAATTATTACGAATTTGAGAGTGAAAGAGTGTCAAGAATAATATTCTTGATCAACGGAGAATAACTTTTATTCTCAAACGTAGCCAAAAAGTTTTCAGAGTTATTTTCAAATGAACATTGTGTTGCGAGAGTAATACAGTTCTTCATTCAAGAGAGAGCAAATTTACTTTTAAACTACATTTCTTTTCTTTTCTTTTCTTTTTTACTTTACCGTATTCACACCTTTATAAAACGTAGACATTGAATTACGTAAGCTCCTTTTTTTGTTACCTTTAATTTCGCCAAGATGAACTCGAGTTTCGCGAACTTTTAATTTTCCTCTCGCATTTTCTTTGATCGCGGTTCAATCGAGCTGCTGTACTCGATAATAGCGCGGGTTAAGACCGAAGAAAAAGAAGGCGGTATTGTCGCGACGATTGATCCTCGGCCACGTTCTCCTCCAGAGATAATTTCCTTGTTATCGAGGAAATCACCAGGTTGTTTTGAATAAACGTTTCATAGCAATTGGTTTGCATAATGGAACGAGGAGCGACGATATTTCCATGGAAATTTCTCAACGAGGCCCGTAGACGATGGTCAGGATCGTGGAAAAGGATGTTCGGGGTCGCTGGAACATCGGGGATGCCGTGTAATTTATCGCGAGCAATATTACCGGCGACGTTGAGCGGGTTGGAAAACCTCGGGACCATCTAGCCATCGGTGTTTTATGGCTGCCGAGAATCCCATATTTCGGCTTCCACTCTTTGCTCTCGAGAATTTATGTTCGTATCGACGATTATTCCACGGATCGAATGACATGGAATGAATGAAATAAATTTTCGAAATAATTACGATCGAATAATTATTGAACTAATTATTGAAATAATTATTAAACGGCGGATATTTATGAAAAATGTTACATTTCCGAGATAAAACACTGTACTCTGTTGTCAATTTTCGTGTCTCTCTCTTTCTCTCTCTATAATATAATTCTTTTTAATAAGAATTTAAATTTGCATGAACATCCGCAGTGTATGATTCGATTACAAAGTTTTTTAATTAATTCATCGAATTTCAGATAGTTTGCAAATTATCCAGCCTCGTTTGTATCACACGCGGATAATGAACAGGGAAGTGGACGAAGAAGTGTTTCCATGTAATGGCCGGGTCGTTCCGCTCGGTGGGCGATGATCGATTCGTCCACTTAATGCGCCATTTCTCCTGTATTCTATTTCCCCGGGAAATTGGTTACGGAACAATGTAGCTGCTATCGGTGATGCAGCGATGCCTAAAGGGCTGCCAACTCTTGCAGATTTAAGTAAATTGAATCATACGGAGCGAGCGAGTGGCGGAATTTTTAATAAATAGAGAATCCTTTTGGGTCCATTTGCAAATATGCATATATAATCAGTCGTAAAAATATGTATAGAATTCTCTCTGTTTTTAATGACGTAATTTATTAGTTGAATTCGCGAATAACGAAATTCAGAGCATACAGAGACTATATATACATACTTTAGATATTATTAGCTTTATTTTATCGGAATTCTGCCTTTGAATAAATCAAACGTGCGATTTCGTTGATTTCGTAAATTGTTTCTGAGAGAAAAAAAATTTCTCGAAGAGATTAATTAGCTTAATTGATTTCGATATCTTACTAGAATTGTTGGAGTATCCCAATTCGTTTCGTCCATCCCACGCAGCCATTAGCGGTGCTTTCGACAAGAGATGGATTCGAATAAATTGACTGCATCGTCCTCGAGACACATTCTGAATAACGAAGCACCCAGCGAGAACATAAATCTCTCAGGGAACGACGCGTTGGACGTGTTTTTGATGAGGACGGATGAACTGTGATCCGTCTTATGGAAGAAATTTTCATTTACTTCCATTTCGTTTTCTTTCTATTCATGCCGGCTCTATTTTACGTTAGATACATAATTTCATCATGGTGAAACGATAAAGAATAAAATTCAAATCATACCGAGTGAAAAATTTCACTCGAAAGGAAAAACAGGAAATAAGGATAAGCTAAAGAAATAATTTTTCCTTTTTCTTTCGAAATGTACTTATTTTACGAGTACCATGCCGCGACACGTAGACGTATTTCCGGCGATATTATTTTACGGCTGATCATACGGCATTTGAAATATCCTATTTTTCTTCTTCTCATTTGCCCGGTTCGATTCTCCTTCCCAGCGAGAAAGAGGATACGAGACGGTTGTTTTCTTTCTCTTCGTTCTTCTGGTTTTATTACTCCGACTTCTGGTACGTTTGCGACAAGTGGAATGGCGTTTTATACGGAGAAAAGGAACAAAAGAACTCGTTGGTTCGCGAATCGGCAGTGGAAACAAGCTTTAATGTTCAGTCAGTAGAAAAGGAGCGAGTCTTGGTAGACGCCGATCGAATAATTTCTACAAAGGAAATTTTTACGGTATATTAATTCTTTCTTCTCGTTTCACTAGATATCTAGAGACCAACGCGCCAACTTTATTTTCAACTAAAACCAAAACGTTAAGGATCCAATTAAAGTGGAAAAGTTAATATTGTGAAAATTAATGGATCGCTTCGATTTAAGTTTGGTCAGACTGTTAACAGTTTGGCTTTTCGAAAAACAAATATTATCCTCTATTACGATGATTAAAATATACGTTTTTGAATCTGCATTAAAAATGAAATATGTAACGCATAATTTTTTTGTTTGTCAGATCAATATTTTTTTATTTTTAATTATTATATATATTAAACTAACGTGAAAGTGGGTGTATCACGTTCAAACCGAGTTTCTACTTAAACATCTCTCTCAGCAGAAACAACGAGATCATGTTTGAGGGAAATGCGATAAAATAGGTCATCCTGTATTATTCATGAAGACGTTACTGACGACCGAAGTGGCTTGATACGGTAACTGCTCGCTAATTAGGGAAACATGGTGCGCCCACAACTATCTACGATGAGCTTGTAAGCTATTTCCTGTATGTTCGCATTAATTAACAAAGTTGGGAGTCGAAGCAAAGGTAAACAGGATCCGCTGTAAATCGACGACGTAACATTCCTATATTCCTATAGGCAAGATAAAACGTTGATATAATGCGTGGTGATGATTCTCCACGTCGATAAAGCAGTTTTGAGATCGAAGTTTCTATATTGACTCCTTTAGTAATTACCGACCGGTCTCGTAACAAAATCTCGAAGTCACTCTCGTTCTTTATCTCCTCCGTTTTCCACGGTGTTGGCATGGTGTTGGTCGACGTCACGGATAATTAATTACCCACTTTTAGCTTAATCCAAGAGTGCAGCTGGTGGGATTATACCGCGGTCGTGTTCTCTTTCTCCTTTGTCGCTTTTCGACCGCCTTTCCGTGGCCACGACTCGTACTTCACTGGAGACAATGGCTCGTCGCCAACAATGGCTTACGGAGAGATAGAGAAAGGGAAGAAGGTTAAGAGGTTCAATGGAAGAGGTTAGGAAGATATATTTATATCATGTGCTCGAAATATATATACGCGACCGATACCACTGATTAGGTGCGACTACGTGCATCAAATGTTTCGTGAACTAGGAAGCGGAACGAGCAGAGAGGTTAGTTTCGTTTTCTAATTGACGATCGACTTTAATTACCTTTGTCATTGGTTTCGTTTTAACCAAACGATCGATGTTCGTTTTCGTGAAAACATTCGTGAAAGGAATAATTGCTATTGAAGATACTTGTTGCCTTTGACTGGATTTTTATGAGGACTGCTTCAGAAGTTTACCTCTTTGATTTTAGTAAAAATTTCGCATATTGATTTATGTATACAATTTGTCAAAATTTTATTTATAGACGATCAAAAATTAGAAATTATAATTCATGTTATACACAGATTATAATTAGAGTTATAAAATTAATTTGTATATAATAATATTAACATTTGTCTATACAATTTTCCCAAACTTTATTATGCGTATTTTATTTATAACCGATCCGATCATTTACGATTAAAATTTCAATTACTTATATATATTATTTATATATATATATATATACCTTTGCCATCAATTTTCCAAATTTCATCAAAATAGGATCAAAATCACAGTTCTGAAGCAGCCCTCGTTAGTCAAACCTTTCAGAGGTGTTTCATCGATGTGGCACTCGTTGTCGAACGATTCAGAGGCGGAGAAGAACGGGGCAATGGGCAATGAAATTGCAGTAATCGAGGTAGAATTGCGTCGCGTCCCCAGTGGGCCGTGACGTTAATCAAAGCGCGGTGTGAAAATAATGCGCATCAGGGACACCTGTCGCCCCTGTAGCCGCTCGTTTCGAAATCTCGGCGTCATAAATCTGATTAGGCGGCGCGTTTAGGGAGAGCCGGCCCGTGTAATCGTTCGTGGAACGTTCAATTTCGTCCGCGTTTCCGCTGGTTTGCGAGGGAAATCGTTTCGTTCGACGGTGGTCTGGATTTCGACGAAAATTCGGGCGTGAAAATGGGGTGAATTTCCTGTTTGCGGAACACGCGACGCTTCTCGTGCCCGTTTCCGCTTTTGGATCCTTTGTACAGGGCAGGTGCACGATTGGAACGAGGCAGAAAACTCGATGGAATTTCCAGAAGCCCTCCCCGATTTATCTTGCGGTGTTGTTAAAAATTCCAAAAGGAGAATAAGGAGATACCGGCGCAAATGCCGGTGACTTCGGTCCCACGGCTGCGGAAACCGCAGCTTTTTCGATTGATTCTTTTTACGAGCCACCAAGTTACTCTTGGATTTCTTCGTCGGTTTCTTTTTATGGATCCTGGACCGTGTTCGTAACTCTGTTCTGAAACCTCGAAAATGTAACCGAAGAAGCGTATATACGAATATTCGTTTAACGTTGAAACGTTGTTTCGATCGTTTGATCATTTTTAATTTGTTTCTTCGAAAGCAAAATAAAATGGATGGAGGGAAAAGCGCGTGGAAAAATGAAGAAAGGCCGAGTCTTTTGAGAAAATGGAATCCCTTTCGTGAAATTTGACTCGATAACATTCGTGGAGATAAAAACGAAATGTTAAAAATTTTGTATTCAGAAGGGAATCTCACGAGTTCGTATTCCCAAGACTTCAATATTCGCAGAGCGAATATTCTCATCAAGGTGAAAATTTCACGATCTCGAATTCACCTTCAGTCGCCTACACCTTTTTATTAACAGATTTTCACATTTCACGAACGAAAAGGGATAAACCGTTGAAATTATACCGATTCGATTTACTTGGAAAATCGGTTCTCGTTTACGGGAAACGTTCGTTCCGATATAAAGTTTGATCGACGCATGAAATCGAATTTCACGTACATTTTCTACCTTCCAGTTTAAAATGGTAAACGATTTTTCGGCGTTCCTCCGTTATCAAATCGGTGATCGGCGGAATAAAAGAATGTTTGGCGGCGTGTTCGTGGCTGGTATTTCAAATTGAAGAAGGTTTCACCAATGTTGCGCACGCTCCGAGCTTATACTAACTTTTCAGACATTGTTATCGAGACAACTAGTTTGGATTCTGCTCTCTCTCTCTCTCTCTCTGTTTCGTGGGAATTGTTATGCAACTTTGCGTTGCATAGCTTCCAGCTGCTGAGAGGAATATTACCAGGGAGCACTTTCGGAATTGCAAGCCAGCGGGAAACGGGAAAGCTCCAACGATTCTTGCTCGCCGCCCAACCCTTTATTTTTTCTCTCTTGGACTTTTACGGTTTTGCATAGCGTTCATTGCTCGAGAAATACAAATCAGTTCCTTCTGTTTTTAGATAAAATTATCGCTGTAAAAATTGTTACATGATAATAGCCTTCGTCACATAGGATTCGCTCATCTGATCAAAGTTAAATAAGCTACGTTGAATAAAAATAAAAATTTATTAGTCGAAATTTCTATGTCTATAAATAGACTTAATACTAACATAAAAATGAAGAGATAAAAATGAAGAGACCAATTTGCGAATTTATTTCTTTTCCCTGAAGAGACAAATAAATTGGAATATTCTTTTTTTGAATATGCTCGTATAAAGATCAAGAAAGTATAAAGAAATTTGTCAATGATTCTTAATTTTTGTCAATGAATGTACATGTGAACATCGTCTCCTTTTTGCAAAATGTGTATCACATGCTGATCACTCGATAATGATTATAACAATCAATTGAACGACAAATATCAATGATGAATAAAAATCGAATTAAGCACTCACCTCTATTCTAAAGGTCCATCCCTCCAGGCTGAGCAGCTTGAGGGTAGTATTTCTGGCGAGAGCGTGACACAGTAATCTGGAAGGGTGGTCGTCGAGGGCGAGTCTTGGGCTTGCTAGATCCAGAAGTTGAAGGCACGGTGCCTCTGTCAGTGCCAGTACTAATGGCATCACATCCGCCGGTCTGGATGCACCGGCCGCCCTCAGAGCGTCCAAATTGCGCGCCCTTCTGATGGTCTCTCCCAAGCAGCCCGCGTCCAATCCGCCCAGTAAACACTTGGACACGTTCAGGGACCTCAGCTTGCAGTTAGGCTCCCTGGAGCATTGGGCAAATCGTTCTCATATTAGCTCATTGACGTATAATTTGATAAGGCAAAATTGACATTCGAGAGGAGAATTTTGTCGAGGAAGGAGAAAGCGAAGAATTAAATAAAAAAAAAAAAAAGTAAAGAAACGGGGGAAATCTAGATGCGATGAGAAATTGTGTTGAAAAGGGGCGGAGTGAAAGAAAAGAGACTCTTCACCGTATTCAGTGACACAATTGTATTCAAAACCTAACGAGGATCCACTCGAGTATTAATAATGGTATCGGTAATTGGAAGAATCTTGAACTCTCCTCGATACCAGAAGAAATAGAAAATTAGCATAGGAAAAGTGGGGCAATAATAATACGGGAGGGATTGACAAGAGTTTTCGTTACGCGTTCTATCTATTATAATTGAATTCGATCTCTAATTCGGGATTTCAGTTAACCTGACGATATAATATTCCACGAATAACGACGATATAATCGAAAAATCGTTAAAAAAGAAAAATAATAATTTAGCATAATTCGAACGAAAGTTGAACAAATTTACCTGGTTGAAGGTAGAGAAGAGAGCAGACCGGAGAGCAAAGAGACGGAAGGATTTAATCAAAGCAACTGACAAGTCCAGTAATTACGCAAGATCGATGATTATACCGGTTGTAAGGTGGCGAGGATAGCCAGTATCTTTATTAATTGAACGCAGATAGACTTTTAATTAAATCTCGTTCCCGACAGATGAAGGGGCGGAAAAAAAAAAAGAAGAAACGAACGAGGAAATTAAGATTGTTACAAAAATGGAGATCTGAGGTAAACGTAATTACGGGTACGGATAGTGAAATAACGGCGGCCTCGTCTCTGTTTAACGAGATCGATTCCGGGGAGTTGATTATTCGGCGGGTCGCTTGTAAATTGAACAGTCCCTCGATAAATCAGATCACCCATTAACACGTGTTTGCAATCCTTTACGCGATATTTGCTTAATTAACCGATACGTTTCATCATATTGTAAATGTATATATCGATAAAATTGAGTTGTTGAAAGCACGAGAATCGATAAATCCAAATGGAAAGGGACTTCGTTCTACAAAGAATTCTACCCTTCGATTTTAGACTTCGAGTACTCGAAATAACATTGTATTAAAAAATAGAATATCGGAAATTACAAATATCGAAAATAGCAAGTAATGGGAATCGCAGATATTAAAAGTAGAATATTGGATGATCAAGTATCGGTGGTAGAGTATTGAAAATCGCAAGGGTTGGAAAGGACATAGTACGATTGCGAATATTGGAAATCGCAGCTAATAGAAATCAATATTTCAAATTACAGAATTTAAAGCCAGATATCCAAAAATCACAAATTTTTGTTATATAAAATCTCGAATGCTGTTTTACAAAGTACAAGACACCCCTTTTCTTCATCATCCGTCGAAATTTTCATCTATAAGAGGGACGCGTATATATTCGCGTTTTAATACGAATTGAAGAACTCGGATCGTCCGATCGTAAGATCAGAATTGCGGGTCTATTTAACGATATCCACTTCTCGGAGGATATTTACTCGGGCTATTAACGCGATACAATATGGCAGCGACGGGGGTTGCAGCTAATGGCGCGCCTTTAATGGCGCCCGAGGAGTAAATCCGAGTGGGTTGGACGTATCTATCGCGGGGGAAAAAAATATAGCTCGCGAAACGGTACGTGCCGGCCGTGCTTTGAATCTTTCCCCGAGAATAAACATTTTATTCAGACCGTTCACCGGCAGGATAAGCTATTCGGCCAATAAAAGTGATACTTTAAATCAAAGCGCGCGCGCGTATCGGTTCTCTCCTCTCTTCGTTTCAACCGTGTATAATTCTTAAATACGAGGAAACGCTCGTACTTGGTGAAAATAAACGGCCACCGTGGATCGGCCAATGGATCACTTTCACGACGTATTTTCTTTTTTTCTTCCTTCTTGCGCCAATTGATTCAGCTTTTCGAGCACTGCAGTGTGTTCGATAACATTCAGAGGGAACAATGGAACGAGGAGATTTTTAAACGGTTAAAAGGGGGCCGGTTCGCAGCACGGTTGGAACGAGTCTGGGTCGAAATTGGAACGCTTGGTAAATGAAATTTATTCAAATTACGGGGTAATCTTATCCAAACGAAGCTACGAATAATCCGGAATGAAAACTGGAGCCTGGTTGTAAGACAAGAGAAGGGAAGAGAACTCCTCGACGGAGGAGGAGGAGGAGGAGGAGGAAATTTCTGTGGGGTGAGAAAGAGGGGAAGGGAGCAGGAATCGATGGACACACGTAATCCATTGTAACTCGTAAACAAGTTAATTGCACGCCAACTCGGAACTTGCTGTCCTCTCGCAGTTTCCTTTCAACTCCGTTCAAAGAAGATTGTCCGAAGTTCTCCGGATTCGCGTACATCCAATACGACCGACGCCGTTAACGACGTTAACCGTGCCGCGTTTCGTGCGATACATTTCCGTCTCCTGTCCGTTTCCTCTTCCTCCATCGAATCCATGGAAACGAATCGAACTTCGTTACGAATTCAAATTTCGATCGGGCTTCGTAACGAATACATACGCGTTCGAACGAATTTCGAAAAATTGGAACAAGAGTGATTTTCTTTCTTTTTTTTAAATCCAAATGTAAAAGAAAGAAGAATTATTATTTCGTCTTTTAAGTTGGTTTGAGTTATTTTTTTTTTTTTTTTTTTTTTACACGCTTTTTTCGTCACGGTACCAGTCGTCTCACTCGCAGTCGCAGAATTCTTCGAGTAACTCTTTGAGCTCGCCACGCTCGAGTTATAGCGAATCGGAAATGCGGGAGGCACACGCGAAAGGACGTTTGCTACACGCGCGTATGAATGGGTTGACGATATTTTTAATTAAAAACACAGAGCGGACCGTCAGACGAGTAAATTGGACCTCGCCGGGAAAAATATTTCCGAGATTATTTCTCCGTGCTTCTGCAGCGACTCGTTTGCCTTTTGAAAAATATATACATTTTCGTTAAATTCCATCGCCCACCTTTGTACACGATTGGAAATCATCGAACCGTGTATTAACGCCGATAAATACTATGGCGTTACAATATTATTGGCGTGAAATTTATATTCGAATAATTTTGAAAAAAAGAAAAAAAAAAAAAAAATAATTGAAATACTTGTCAATTTTCTTCCACAAATGTTATAAAAATTCATTTTTAACGAGAGAGATTAAAAACGATGGAATTTTTCCTCGATCTTCGCCAAAATTTTTACAAATTCTAACAAATAATCGATATCGACAAATTGGCGTTAATTACGTTTGAACAATTTTTAAAAAGAATTGCGAGACAAAAACGTCGGATAAATCTTCAGGGAGCGTGGAGACACAACGAAACAAAAAATTCCATGGGGTCGCTGTTATAATCTTCAAAAAAAGAAAAAAGTCACGCTGACAAAGGGAAAGAACAAAGGGAGCAAGCAGGGGTGTAAATTATTTCTCGCGTTTCAGGGTTGACGCGTGATAGTTTGTTCGTAAATGGAGAAACAATGAGCCTAAGGGCACACCCGGTCGACTTCCGTTTCGCCGCGTGTTCCGACGCGGCGCGTATCGCGCGCGCTCGTAAACGGATTCATAAAGGGTGAGGAGGAGTGCTTTCTTTTCTGGCTGCCTTTTCATCAACCAAGCCACGGAACAAATGGTCCAGACCGCGGCCAATAATGGAAAAACACGGACACGCCGCCTGTCATCCCTTTTTTCTTTTTTTTTTTACAACCATCTCAACCGACATTTTTATTATCCCGCTTCCTCGCTTCCTACTTCCTCTTTTTTACGATCCCGTGTTCAAATCTCGATGACACGCGCGAAATCCGAAGCGTTCGATTGTTGTTCTTTGACAGGAACCCTTCGCTTCTTTATAGAGAAGAACGTCTGTCGTTTAGAAAACCACTTCTGTAATATCGAATTTATAATTTATGAAACTATATGATGTGATTGTATGGGATATATAATCGTTCGATATTGTTGAAATTATCTCATTCACGTTTCGAAAATCGGTTTTCTAGATTTTTTTTTTTTTCTTTCTTTCTTCATACAGCGTGGAGAAAATATTAATCCTCTAGTTATTATTTACACTACAGTTATTAAATTACATTAGAAAAATTCAACGAATCAAGATAACTCTGGATCTGAATTTTATCGCGTGTTCGCGAATTGTTGTTTAAATCGTACGATATTTGATACCACTCGTAATCAGAGATAGAAATAATAACCGTGTAATACTAAAAATTATATCGTTATAACGAGATTAAACTGGGAGATTAAAAAATACTGGTGGGTTTAAAAATTTCTCGTCGTCTGTAACACGGCAGTTTCCCGCGGGCATGCTCGATATTCGAAAAATCTTTGGTATCCGGTTTATAACGTTGCGCAAGGAAAACTGGCGACCGCGAGATTATTCGACGCGGTAACACCGCGGGAATTCCCATGAAATTTCCTCTCGCAGCTGGCCTGTTCGAATTATGATGCGAAACGTAGATGAAAGAATTCCATTGCGGGCCATGTAATGGAAATGCAAAGGCTGAAAGGGATTTTTGCGTGGTCGCATGTGCGTGAACAATGGACGATATCCAGGTGACGTGCAGGTGAGACTTGAAATTAACGCCCGACACGACGAATGCCGTGGGCAGGTGACAGAATTTTATTTTGAAATTCCATGGTCTCGATAAAACTCCATAAAGTTCCAACCAACACCGAGAACAGACGTACGAGACAATCCTTTGTCTCTCGATCGATTATTCCACCTTGTCTATTGTTCCCAATTCTGAGAGACGGTATTTTTTAGGAAATTTTTAGTAAGAAAAAAAAAAGAAAAAATTTTCATCAGAAGAATAGAGGAAAAGAACTTTTCCGATTCGACGATCGTTTTGCAAGAACGATGTTGACGAAATCTATTTTTCGACATACTTCAAATTTCACGTCTAACAATCGTTCATCCTGAAAGGTGGCGCGCCCCCTTCGCGGAAACTTTCCAAGAAGTTCTTATAATTTCTTGAATGGCCACTCTCCACCGTCTCTTTAATTTCCATAACTCATTTACCGGATGTTCGAGAACCAATCTCGAAAACTTTCTTCAAGAGAACTCGTTGCAGCGGTTTCTATCACGGCCTACAAACTTGTCCGATGATTGGGACTCAACTAACTATTTCCACCAATTTTCGGCTAAATGAAAACTGTAAAATATATTTTCCTTTTGCTCAAGTATTAATAACCCCAAAATAATAATCCTTTTCGAAACTATCAAACGTGACGCCACGTTTCAAACTAAATTCCATCTTTTTTTAAAAATATAATTCACTCAACAATGATTTAGAAACCATTTCACATAAAATAAAATACATCGTATTCATCATCACATGATATAAAAATATAACAGCGTTAATTCTGAATCTTACAGCGTTAGTGATACAAAATCAAGCGAGCTTGTGATCCATCTCGTGGATCACACGATACGTAATCCTCACCTGATGGCGTTGAAGATCTCGTGGAAGCCAGTTCCTTGATGGCTGCTGACGTCGCAAGTGGGTAACGGGTGCAGAAGCGGCAACCGATGACAAAGTACGCTATCGCTGTTCCTCTTGCTGCTTCCGTTACTGTCTCTGTCCCTGTCGTTCTGCGGCAGCGGTCCGTTTCCGGTGGCGGGCGCGGGACCAAGGCCAAGCCCGAGGGGAAGCCGCGGAAGGGTGGCTGGCCTCGTTAAGCTGCCGTAGGCTGCCAATGCACCCCTGGGCAGGGACGAGTAACACCGATTTAAGGGTAGCGTGCCAAGGGTACTGGACGCGCATCCGCTGCTTCCGGATCCGGACCCCGAACCTGCGACGCAATTGTATGAATCTTCTTAGCATGAATCGAATTAATCGTTTTAAATTTCTCGTCGAAGTAGAGAATTTTATATCATTTAAAAATTTGGATAAATATTTTTGGAATAAGAGGAGATTAAAGAGAATTGAAATTTTTAGTAACAAGGACTGCATATTTCTTTGTATTTTTTCCAGATTTTTCCAGGAATGTAGGTATTCGTGTTTAAAATTTAACGTTTAAAAATTAGGAAAAATTAAAATCGCTGTAATTCCGAAGATAGCAATTCTTGGTTAATGGACCAATAATCGTTAAAACTGTGGAATCTTGTACTTTAAAACTTCATCTCTTTCATTTATCCCGATACGACTTCCGGTTCTTGAGATATTGTCCGGTAAAAAAAAAAAAAGGGTAATTTTTAATCGTTGTAACTTCGAGGATAATTAATCCTTCCAATGAATTATTGGAACGATTAAAGAAATCGTATCCTTTAAAACATTTCTTGATTTATCTCGATACAACTTTCTGTTCCTGAGATATCATTGTGTAAAGAAAAAGATAATTTTTTAAATCCTTTGCTATCTTTGTTCTTGGATCTCACTGATCTGTCCAAGTATCAGAATTCTTGGAAGATTTCATAATATTCCGTACTATGTTAAACGCTATGAAAGCTTTGAGCCCTTATATATCAAAAAATAACTTCAATGATACGATTTCCTCCATTTCCCGAATAGATTTTGATCTATAATAAAATTTTAATATATTCCGCTCACGTTTTTCATATAAAAAAAGCTCGAAATGTTGTTCCAATATTGCTGAGATGTAAAGTATACAATCGCATTCAACATCAATATTTTACATGTTATACAACACATTTTTCATAATCCGGACGACAATTTTAATAAATGCGTGGTTTTCAAGTGTCTCTGACGTGTGTGTGATATTACAATCCTCCGGAATCGGGACATCCGTCCGTTTCCACCTTAAATTTCAGCCTTCAAAGCGATGCTGAAATAATTTGTACTTAAATTAGTCTCGCGAGAAAACTCGTAAGATTGCGTGACTCTGCATAAAGTCCTCGCGACGACTGGATTAAACGAGACACATTGGGTGTTTAAGCGAGTTCTGGCCCGAGTTTACTGCCAGTAAAGCTTCTGGCCCCGTGGAATTAATATAAACGAAGCGTATAAGCGAGAAGGGTAACGTTGGTTGGCTACTGTATTGCCGGTCCGTAAAGTAAGCGACAGACTCGAATCCGGACAGGAAGTGGTTACGAAGGGAACTTTATTAAGGGCTCTCCTCCTCCTTCTCCTCCTCCTCCTCCTCCTCCTCCTCCTCCTCCTCTGCCTCGTGCTCGAACGCTTCGTAAGATAATGGCTTCAATGACGAACGATGCGTCACACGAGTGCAATGCACTGCTAAATAAACCGCGATGCAAGTGTGACGTGAATTATTAGGAAGAGGCATCGACCGATTTCGCCGGACTTATGCGCCGCTTCTTTTCTAAATTTATTAAAGTTTCAGCTTCTGGAGAGGGAATATCAATGAAAATAATTAATTCTAATGTTTCGTTGTATTATTTTTCAGATTGAGAACACTTGCAGCATCTCGCTCGCATTCTTGTGGATTTCCGTGGATCCAGCCGCGCACATATGTTAGCATCGCGAGTTGCAGTGTTGGTAATAAAAGTATATTCCGGTTTATATAAGCGGTCGGACGTGTGTTTTACGGCAACCTCATCCCGCTGATCGTATTATCACGAATGGTGGAGAAACTTTATCGCGAACGAGATACAGCAACAGCTCGTGCTCGGAAAAAATATAAAACGTTTTACGAGCAAGTTATGCAGGAAAAACCCGCATCTCGAAAGAATTTATAAAGTCTGCGTCGAGTGATAAAATTTTACAGAATTTGCAGGTAATATCTCGAAAGTCTCGATAAGGATCCGAATCTCGATGCGATACGACTGAACGCGTTTCTAAAGGGAAGATTCTACGTTTAATCTCGTCAAAGACGAGCGTCGAGAGATGGAATCGTAGCCGTGCGTGAAATTACTAAATTCCTCTTTGAACTCTTGTTCGAAAACCAAGATCTCCAAGACAGGTATCTCGATACTTTGATTAATTCTTCTTCATTTAAGAAATACGATAATTTTCAACAAATCGAATTAGGAGTTATATTGGGGATTAGAATTTTACAGAAATTTGCCCATTACCCGATATTTAATTGGCTCGAGAATAACTGAAAATCGCGGCAATATTTCCCTTTATGAGTGTTCTGTTTGGCGCGGGCCGAAGGGAAATGAAAAGCGCCGCTTCGAGCCAGGAAATGAAACTCGTCGCTAGGGAAACTTCTAGCTAGGAATTGCCGCAACTGTCATCCTCGACTATCGCTCCACGGTGGAACAATTAGCAACGACAGGGGCGGTAAGTAGCCCGGGCAATAAGCAACCGCGAAACGCCCATGGGATTCGTTACTCTTTTAACACTTTGCGAGCGAACGTTGTGCGCTGGATCATTCGTACGACCATTTGAACCGGCTCTCAGGAAAGCTAAATGGGTTGGTATATTTTCGAGACGTCAAATGAATTCGTAACGAAGCTTTAGACAAATATTATTCGAAGTCCGATCTTATTATTATTTCCATTTTTCGATTCTGTTCTGGGGGAAAAATTAATTTTTCCTACTATTCGTACGGGTTTTGCTAATTTTACTTAACACATTCGATACTGAATGATATCGAAATGGAATATGGCAGATTTTCGATTCTGTTCTGAGGAAAAAATTAATTTTTCCTACAATTCGTACGGGTTTTGCTAATTTTACTTAACACATTCGATATTGGATGATATCGAAATATGGCAGAAAGTAATATAAAAAATTTGTCAGATATCCAGGCTTTTCGTTCGCATAAATGTTCGCACTGGTATCGGTTTTACAATTTTGTGCTTATCAAAAATCTATCAGGGAATTTATTTCGATTATTGACGTCGCAGTGAACGTGTTAAAAAATGTTTAAAGAATCTCAAACGGGGAAACGTTTCAGGGAAACAGTTATCGATCAAGTTAACACTCTCGTTCCCCTTCAAAGAGAATTCTTCTTGTTCACGCATGACAAAACTATCGACGTACACACGTACGTACGTGTCGCAAGACATACCGTTTCTTTCTCTTCCACGATCCATGATCCACAATCTAAATCTGGAGGCAACCATCTTTTTTGCAAGATTTTCCAGGATGGCAGTACCCGTTTAGCCAGAAAGACACCTTTTTACCTCTTGACGAATCGTTTTAACACGGCGACAATCGCCGAGCTCGTATCGAGCTCGCTGTTTTTATCGCGAAAGGAACGACGACGAATTTACGTTGGCTCGTACGCCAAACCGTACCCTCCTCCCCCTCCGTGCAAAAACCATTTCCCGTTCCAAAGCATCGTAATGGCCGTTTCCATCGGCCACGGTACATTGGATACGGAACGTTCCTCCCTCGTTCAGAGCCGATTTAATTCCGCTTCGAATCTCCTAGGCACGATCGAATCCGCTCGAATACTCATTTCTCGGGAGTTCGTTTAAACCCCACTCGTTCCTCCTAGATAGACTTATTATTTCAGGGAACCGATTCCTATTTCTATTCCAGATCCTCGTTCCCTTATTTTCTTTTCTTAATTTCCTTCTTCTTCTCTTTTTTTTTTGTTTTGTATTATCTCTTGTTTCGTACGCGTTGTTTCATATTCCCTTTATTAAGCTCGATTTTTAAAAAAAAAGAAATTAGAAGATATTTCCCATCAAAAGGGAAATTATTAAAGAAACCTTTGCTTCGGAACCCCTTTCGTTATCGATGCGCCAAGAAAAATGGAACGTGGAACGTTTTGAATAATCGAACGCGAGGAGAAACGAGCTCGGTTAGGTTTCACAGGTCGACAACGTTCTCGGCTGTCTTTACTCGAGTTTTTTTCTTTCCTTTTTTTTTTTTTTTTTTTTTTTTGCGCGCGCTCGTCTCCGGTTACGCGCGTTCGAGACGCGTGCAGACGCGGATACGGTCGCGTGTCCGTCGCATGGATTAATTACACTTATGGAGAGAACCCGTTGAAATTGCGCGAGAATCAGTCGCCGCACACGAATCTGAGATGGTCGAGGATGAAAAGTAAATCGAAACTGGAATCGAAACAGATCGTTGACAGGTTTTCTCAGAAGAGAATACGAAAGAGAAGTGTTGCGTAACGACACTTTCGCTCGAGTGAATATTCCACTATGTCGATAAAGCGGAATAAAAGAGGATAGAAGTAACAACCGTAATCCGATACGGTTACACTTTTAAAAGACCGAGTCTAGCCACTAAAAGAAACAAAAGAAGCAAAAGAAAAAGAAAGAAAGAAAAACCTAGTCACGACGAAATAGATAGACAATGAGTCCTTTTCGCGTTATTTCGAGTTGAAAAATGAAAGCATAGCTCGAGTCGACTCGATAAGTTTGAGGACAAGTCTCGTTAAAAGAAGAAGCCGTGTCGTTTCCAGTATCGTTCCAGATCAAACAGAAGCGTTTAATATAATACGTTGTGAAGGAGTCGCGAGAGCAAACATCCAACTATCCTTAACGCGAGGGATGCAGTAACGGTTCGCTGTTGTTCTTCGACGATGTCGAGTGTTAACTGTTCCGAGTAGCCTCAAGTTCTTCGAGTTACCAACTGTTTATAGTATAGCTGGTAGCCCAGCCAGGATCGATCCGCAGCGAATTCGTTACGTTGGAAGAGGTCACGTTTTCCCGATAACGGTGGTGCTTTATTAACTTTTCGAGTTTCGTTTCGCGTTTAATATATTCGAAGGATCGTAAATCTACCCTCCCCTCCTCCTCCTCCTCCCCTCTTTCTCTCCGCTCGAGAGATAGACTGGAATTTCTCGCTGGACAATCGAAAGTTGCGAATCCATTGCGATCTGCAGAACACAGTTTTCAACTTTTCGGACTTGAGAAAGTCGCAGAAAGCGATGGACCAGGTGGAGGAGGGGGGGAGATCCGATTT